ATGTCTCGTCTCAAGAACGATACTACGCTGGCCCTTCTTGGCGTTGGAGCTGCGTGTGTAGGTGAACTCAAAAGGTGGTGTGCCCCAGAACTCGAAGAAGATGTCCACTTCATTGCCCTCATGAATGTCGACACGAGACTGCTTACCGCGACTGATTTGGACACTAGGGAGCGGGTGGATTGTCTTGGGGATGTTAACAGCGGCGCGACATTCGCTGGCCTTGTCCGAAATGCTAGTGATAGTGAAATCGCCAGGCTTCTCTGCAATACGGCGGAAGCTGGTTGTTTGCGACTTGGCATTCCACCGGCCATTGAAGTCGTAGGCAATGTCGAATGGGGGTGTGCCAGATAGAGTGTATGCAATGCGCTCGCCGACACAGTAGTCGTGTCGAGACTCCAGAGGGTAGATAGACGGCGCCTCATACAAGTGAATCTGTACCGACGGTCCTCCATGCTCATACTTGCGCTGGCAGCCTCTGGCATCTCTGACGGTACGAATACGAACCTGCTGTGCACCGAGTCGGAGGTGCTGGCGAGGAATCCGGATACCGTAAGAGTTAGAGTCAATGGAGGGGATTCTGTAAGTCTCAGCAGGAGATCCGGCTTGATGCTTGATCTCGACTTCGACATAGAAAGGAGCTTCTCCAGTGAGCTTAATTGGGATTCTGTCCTCCTGCTCCTGCTCCTCCATGCAGTACTTGAACGACTGCCCGGGTTTCGTAAACCCAGCCGAAGGCTTAGCGTTCACGCGCTGGGTGAGAGTGAGAGGGTGGAAGTTCTTGTCGCTGTTGTAGAGATTATCTGCAAGAGCAGAGAACTTGTAGGTATAATCGCCAGCCTTGGTGGTGTCCATGGAAATGGCTGCCTTTGCAAGGGGAGCATCGAAATCTTTGCGAGTAAAAGCCTTGGAGCCCTTAGCAGGCTTGTGCGTGACATCGTATTGCACATGGTAAGGAGGCGATCCTGCGAGAAGTTAGCGGTGAACATAAATCTTGGATTTAAGACACTTACCCTTGAGGTTAACTTCAAATCCATCGATATCTCCTTCGCAAATATCTTGCTTGACGAATGTGTCGCCATCCGGCTTGATACTCGGGGATTCAACGATCGAGATCTCGGGCCTAGGGAACCAGCCCACTTCAAACCGGGCTGCTGCAGGCACAACAGATCCAGGGCACTGGACGTCTCGTACGTCAACCAGTTCGTAGGTGCCTTGGCTCTTGACCAACAGGTTATCATTGGCGTTATTTGCACGCTTTGTTAACACTTCGCCATTGCCGGCAATGTTTCTGTAGGTGATCTCAAAGGGAGGCTCTCCCTCCAAGCGCAGAGGCAAGCGCAAGTGTGTTTCCTCAACAGCCATGATCTTTTGTTTGTGTTCGACAAAACCAAAAGCGGCCCGTGGCTGCTGACGTCGCACAGCAATCTTGACCTGATCCTGAAGGAATGTCTTACATCCCCGCTTGTCTTGAACGCTGCTCAAGGCAAGGATGTATTCTCCTCCCTTGCGAAGGGTATTAGTCTTGATCTTGAAACTGCTCTCTTGAACACCAGTGACTCGCTCCGACTTGCGCTTGCCGTCGTGGACAATCTCCCATTCTAAATTGAAGGGAGCCTCTCCATAGAGAATGACGTCGAGTTCGACTTCTGAGTCGAGACAGGCATTGACGACTCCGCTGCGGCTTGCAATCTTGGCTGAGGCAGCAGGCTTGACAACCTGCTCGAGAACTTTATCGTCGCCAGTGAGAGGCTGGTTCTCATACACAGCGTCGTCGACGGACTTGAAGACGTACTTGTGACGGCCTGCCATTTTCGGTACCAGCTCCAACTGAGATCGCAGGCCAGGCACACGGTGGGATTGTTTCTCAACATGCCCGTCACTGGTGATAATGTCATATCGAAGTACAAAGGGAGGTGTTCCGACAAGGTCCAGATCCACCCTCAGACCGATAGAGTTGCCTGCGCATTTATCGGGGATCTCTTCGGAGCGAACGGAAAGCGAAGGCTCCAATGGGTTCAAAAGAAGGCACGATGACGGTTCTTTAACCTCACCCTTGCAAGACCCGCTGGAGACGGTCTTGAGGGTATACAGGCCAGGTTCTGAGACAAACGGCTGATCCATCGAACTCTTAGCGTTGTGGCCGCCAATCGATACCTCATCGCCATGCTCTCCGCTGTTAGTAAGGGAGTTGATAGGAGAGAATTCCCACGTGACCTCGTGGGGAGTGTCGTCGTTGGAGCCTGTTAGGGAGAAGTCAACAGGAAGTCGAACGGACCGGCCCTTGGCAACCTTGAAAGGGTTACGCATGTCACAGCCCTTCATGCTCGCCTTGGGACGCTCCTTGACCTTGAAGCCGTATTTCAATCCTTTGGCTCGAACTTGGCTGGAATCCTCTTCCAATTCAGCATATTTAACAACGTTGCCAAACGCATCATAAACTTCGTCGATCGAATACTCCCATTCGCCGGCAGAGGTCATGGACTCGTTAAGACCAACTGTGACCTTCCGGGGTCGCACCCACGAAACATCATCCTGGTCATCTGAAATGAGACTGGAGGAGGCACCGAGGAGAGGCGAGGAAAATCCATCAGGCTGAAGACTTTGGAAATGGAAACTGTGGTCCTTCCCATTGATAGTGCGACTGTACTGAATCTTGAGAGGTGGTGTACCATATACGTCCAATGAAAGATTCGAGAGTTCCTGAATACATCGCTGAGAGTCCGAGGATGATCGGATTCTGGCTTGAGGACAAGGCACAACATATGTATCTGCTGTAGCACGCTGGACCTCAAGTTTGTACTCGTCCAAAACTTTTCCAAGTCGATAGACACCCGGTTTCTTAACCGGGTAGTCCCACTGAAAGCCGAACGAAGTCTGATCAGTGTTGTGGTCCCGGATTTGCTTGGCGACCCTGTTAACCTCTCGGTTTGAAATCTTGATGGTTTCCTCCTTGTTTGAGTCAAAGTCGAGTCGGATCAATTCAATTTCAGCAGGAATCGTGGCATTGAAATAGATGGGAAGATCTACGGCGTGCTTTGGCTTTGCAGTTAAACAGAAGGGGGTTCCCTTGGGATTGAGAATAGCCGAGCCTTCAGGCAAGATGTTGATGATCTGCTTTCCCATGATGAGGGAATGGTTGTTGAGAATAGTCGATACCTTGACATTATGCTCAGAGATTGATATTTCGCGGTCGTAGAGAACTTTGGCGAAGCCGAGAATCCATGATTGCCATGGGATCTTGATATCAATTAGCGCATGTTGATTACTTTAGGAGGATTTTGTATACTTACGGGAATGTTGAACATAAGCATGTAGTTGAGAACCAGATGCAAGGAGAATATAGTGGTTACAACAGGTTGGGAGAGCTCAAGCCAAGGTATCCTCAATTCCGGCACACCAAAAAGGAAGGCAAAATCAATGAAGATCCATTTGAGAAATAGGAACCAAGACGAATCACCATCCTCAACCACCTGAAGCCAATCGTAAAGCTTCCATGCCCACAACAAGACGTAGACACCGAAGGTGTAGAGACGCTGCTGAGGAGCGTCGAGAAAGGTCAGAGGAATGACAGGCTGGTTAACAGCGGTCTGAGGTCGAGTGCTCTCAGGCGCGAGAGGCAAAGAAGGAGACCTTGTCGTTGAGCCCTTTCCGTATGATGGCGAGCCAGCCGAGCTAGGGGTTTGTTGATTGTTATGTCGTCGAGTGGCAGCTGGGGTAGCTGGGAACCCAGACCGCAGGCGGGGAGTCGATGTGCTCATGGCATTCGCATTACGAGGATATAGACGCGCTTAAAAAGAAATCATATATAAGCAAACCAAGTCGCAGCCGATGAGTGGTCGAGCGACAGGTTGTTGCGCGTCGGATGAGGTTGAAGGGTTGAAGGGTTGAAGTGTGTTATGTTTTGATACCAAAGTAAATTGTTACCTGTTAGTTTGTACTTTTTCACGGATGATGGAAATTCCTTGAGGAAACTGCGTCACGTCTGGGTCTAGTTGGACGCGCTTGGCCCCTGCGGGTTGGAGCTACAGTGGATACAGAGCAGTTGCAGCCTAAGCTTCAGTGGCTTGCGAGGATGGATAGGCAACGATGGAACAAAACTTAGTACATCTTCATCTACCTAGTACCTATGAGAGCTGATAGAGTGTTACTGGCCTGCTGACTTTTAGGTCTAAAACAGTTGAATATGGATATTAAACTAGTATAACTAATGAAGGAAGCTTAACAAAGAAATGTCAAAAGACACAGCTCTGTTGTTCATTGGCCAATACCTACAACTTTGCGCTAACAACTCCTACAAGCATGTTATTGGTTACCCAAGACAGGAGCTTCGATTAGGTAGATCACATAACTACACTTCTTTCATATTCCTGCATGCAATACCTATTGCTTTCTTCATACGCGTCATGATAGAATCGTCGAGCATAGGCTCTGTATCTTGATATCTCATAAGTAAGTAGTTCGTGCCCGTGCTCCTCTGTACTCAACTCAAAGACTCAGAATCTAACGTGCTATCTGTTGCTAGGCGCGCTGGTATCCTAATTGTTAAACCAAGCTATATACAAAGGAAAATAGCATACAGATAGCCATCATGATGCCTTGAGCTAACTGTTCTATAACGGTCAGGGTAAGATCATCCCAAGCTCCTTCACTCTATCTAGGTGCTTTGTCTACTTGCCTTCCTACCTAATATTTCGAGTGGCACGGGCTGTGACACAAAGTGAGTGGTTCAATCCGAGCCGCTTCGCCTACTCACTTACTACCATCCCATCTGCCAAAATCTTTAAGGCAGCTGCTTGTATGGTTCACCAATATCAACAATTAGGCTTGGTTCACCAGACACAACAAGCATTGTCATTTTTATATGGCCATGGGCAAGAGAATCATTTAATTTGTTCACCTTGTTCTGCCTGGAAACATCTTCTTTGTTCCAGTGACTGGCTTACTTCACCTCACATCTTCACCTGCCCTACTCTGTATCTCAAATGCCAATCCCATACACTATGGAATACGGAACACAAGCTGATGGTGACATCCAGACTGATGAGAATACACCCATCACGCATTCGCTGCGTCGCTCGAATCGTCTAGCTTCTAAACCTCCCCAGCAAACCAAAGCCATAGTCGCCATGAGCGGGCCGAGACGAAACCCCAAGCGCAAGGCCTGTGAGGCAGCGGATGAGGTAAATCACCGCATCAACTCAGGCGACGAACTTCTGAACGAGGCCCTGGCTCCGTTATCTCAAGAGGATATCGAGGAGTGGGAAGGTTGGATAGAGCTCGAGTCGGAACCAGCTTTCTTCAACATCATACTCCGAGACCTTGGTGTTCAGAATGTGAAGGCGCAAGAAATCTTCACCATTGACCATGACTCTCTTTCACATCTACCGTAAGATTGCTGCAGAGTGACTTTGTGCTATGGCACATGCTTACGTCTTCCTAGGCAGCCGGTGTATGGCCTGATCTTCCTCTTCCAGTATCTTCCGGGAATAGAGGAACCGAATGAAGAACAAGATGCAAGCGATGTGTGGTTTGCAAACCAGGTACATTTTCCCAACTCGGAATATCCAAACATGCTAATTTCATGCAGACTACCAATAATGCATGTGCTACTGTTGCTATGCTCAACATTGTCATGAATGCTGAAGGGATTGACCTTGGCGACAAACTACAAGCCTTCAAAGAGTCAACAAAGGAGCTCAGCACTGCCCTACGTGGTCACCAAATCAGCAAAAATAGATTCATCCGCACCATACACAATTCTTTCACGCGTCGAATGGATCATCTGAATGCTGACCTGTTTCTCGAAAATGAATCATCTGGGGCAAAGCCCACTGCAAATAAGAGACGCTCGACGCCGAAAGGGGGCAAAAGAGCACCCCTGCGAAAGAAGAAAACGGAATCTGACTATGGCTTTCATTTCATCGCCTATGTGCCTGCAGGAGGTTATGTGTGGGAGTTAGATGGGCTTCAGTATAAGCCTTGCAGGCTGGGTAAGTATACTGCATCTTGGAATGCAGCCTCCCTCATTGTTCTGGGCTAATTGTTTCACATAGACCCAGTACCTAGTTCATCTGAATGGACATCGGTCGCAGGGCCTCAGATCGAGGCCCGAATGCTACAATATGAGGAAAGTCAGCTTTCATTCAACCTTCTAGCACTATGCCAAAGTCCTTTGGCAGCACACTCACAAACTATTGCCCGTGCCGCAGCATCTCTACAATTCCTTTGTACCAATACCAGACTCCCTGAGTTTGAAATTCTTGTCCGTGGCGAGAAACCTCCTCTCGACATCGACGATGAGTCTCAGCTTTCCGAATTCAACATTACCAAATCAGATATCACCAGTACGCAGATCCCCACCACCCTGCAGTATAGGCTCAAGCGGCCTGGTTTCGATACTCAATCCGCCTATGAGCTGTATCATGAGCTTGTGATAGATGTGAAGGCAGCCATGGGCGAGTTTCGCGCGGAGATGGCGGCCATATCGGACGATGAACAACGAGTCAAGGGACGTAAGAAAGACTACGGACCTATGCTGCACAACTGGATGACGAAACTTGCTCAAAAGGGGGTTCTGGAAGAGGTTATCAAGGCAACCTAATACATTTCGAAGACACGTTGACGTTGCAACGAATATAGAGTAGAGTACAGGTCATCACTTGCAAGATTAAAAACGTTGGGGCTGTTGAAATAGATTCTGTCGTAGCAATATCCTGCACTCAGTCCGTAAACTGTGGTCCCAAAAAACCGAACTACAAAGCGCCATGCACGAACACTAACAACCACACGCCTGGCCTACTAAGACCATCAAAGCAACCAACGCATCACGAAAGCTGCTGGAAGCGTAAAAATGTACGTTCCTTCTAGTCGTCGGGGTATTGTTCCTTAATGTTGGACACGAATGTGCATGTCTCGGCATCAAATCGCTTGAAAAATTTCCCAGCCTGGCGGAACAGAGAATCTGGAATCTCGCTCGGATCCTCAATCAACACGATATTATCCTCGGCGACAACATGGCGTTCGGGCCCTGTTGTGCGTCTGTAACACCCAAATCAGCTTCCCGGACATCAACAGAAGATCAGGAAGCAACTTACAAGCACGTGTAGAAGGTCTTGTTGCGGGGTCGAAGCCGGTTGGGCAGTTCTGTATCGCTGTTATCGTCCAGCGTCTCGTCAATAGCCACAGTATGTGGCATGGGTAAACGTCGCGTACCCTGGTCGGTCCAACCGTTCACAGCACCGACCCAGCCGTATCGTCGGTGTTTAAAGATCTGCCCAATCTTGTAAAGCACATGCTGTGTCCGCACGCTGTTCCTCCGGAAAATTGGAGGTGGGACTTCATCAAACTCGTCCACAAGGTATATCACCTCACGAGGGTCGTCCCATCGACGGGGGTTATTCCTCATGATCCTCTCACGGAGGGGGCCAAATCTATCGTACAGAGGGAAAATATACTTCTCAACTAGCCACGCATCTACGTGCCAGCTCTTGGCGAATCGGTTCAGGAACGGTTCAAGGACCTCATCCCATTCGAAAGAGTCGACAGGTGTGAGGAGCAGCGAAGCCCACAACGCCGAATAAAGAGCAGCGTCTATATTGGACGAATCGTTTCCAGTGATCAATCGCGTGAGTTCAGGATCCGCTTGCTCTCGCGCTTCGATCACCCTGGAAGCGGTGGCTCTGATGTTGCGTGCCGTTCGCATAGCAATCGCAACAGGACTTACAGGAGATAGAAACACATCGGTGCTTGTCTGCCAGCCGAAATGGGCCAGCATAGATCTTAGATCAGCCATGGGTATCTCCTCACTCGAGCCATATGGATCCAGATACATCCTTTCAAGAGGCGCATCGTCCTCGGTGACAGGCACGCTATCCAAAGTCTTTCCATTCTCGGCAAAGACTATAGCATGAACGTGAGTAGGGAAAGCACAACATCGTGCTTGTAAGCCCAGTCGTTCTGCGATACAACAAAAGATAGCGCTCGAGATGATGGGGATCGAGTCGTGGTCTTCATGACGAAGAGCCTGACCAATGAGACAGTTTCGCAGGTTGCGGTAACTGCGATCAGGATGCTGTAAGCCAGTGAGATTGTTACACCGAAGCCAGCGGTTCAGCTCCAATGCTGTTTGCCGCGTGGACATGCCATCGATATTTGTCTGAGTGTCGCGAAAATCGGCAGCTAATCTATCCAGAATAAGGCCAATCTTGATGACTTCGTTAACCAGGGTGTACTCTGAACAAGGGTATGAAGCACTTACATCATTTAAATCCCCAGGCTGGTCATGCAAGACGAATAGATCGAATGCGCCCAGTGCTCGCTCAAGACTGAGATTTGCTGGCTCTCTGTTGTTGTCCCTGCTCGCCTGTTGAATGTTATACCACTCCTCGATAGCAAGAGATCTGTGGATACTGTCCAGCAGGGAATTACTGTAGTATCTAAAGGTTTTTCTTATGAGCATTTGATTTGATTCATATGAGTTTGCGACAATGCTTACCGTCTGGCCAGAACATCTTCAGCGGAATCATCGGCATTGCACTGCTCTAGGAGAAAATCTTTGGCGTCATAGCCGAGCTTGCAAACTTTTTCAAATCGCTTTAGGCGACCAACCTTAGTCTCTAGGATCTCAACCAAGAGGCGTTCAACCTGCGCATTGCGCGACTTCCGGGTGAGAAATATTTCCTTCCAGGGTGTGCTGGAAGCTCTGCCTCTTAAACGACGGTGAAAATTATGTTCTGGATTCCAGAAAGTGAAGCTGTTTCGGCAGTGATATCTCCAGAGAAGTGGTTCATTGGCTAAGTGCCTCAAGCGATGGGAGAGGAACTGAAAACTGCAAAGGTTGTCTTCGGGAGAGATGTAGTAGAGCAAATGTTGAATTATCTCATCTGGTATCTGCAAAAGGGACATGGCGGACCCTCTGAACGAGACAGGGCAGGCGATTAATCGATTGCCGGGATTAGAGAAGCGAATTGCGGTGTGGTGTGGTGTGGTGTATGTGGTGTGATTTTATGAAGTTGAGATGGAGATGGTCTTTGTTGCTAGCAGGGTGATGAATAAGAAGGGCACTGTAATGTTGTTACTCACAACAGACGCAGGTAATGTAGGTAGGAGGAATCTTCTAGTCGGGTTTTCGTCGCAAATCCCGGGTTTAAGTTAAACTGTTCTGCTGATCAACCCTCGAATATGTCATTACTTGGTTCTTGCCTCTTTAGCTCAAGTAAGCTCATCGCCTCTTACTGCGGCACAATGTTATCATCCATCACTGACCTTGGGTCTGGGGTACAGCAAAATGAAGGAATTTAGCGGGGTTATGAGCATTGCGAACGCTGTGAAGTCATGAGATGACGACGGATTCTCATTGGCTACCATCGTAGAGTTAAGGTCATCGGCAATTGGCTCACATTTGTTTTGATTCTAGACCTAAAACGGCACTCAAGTAAACAAAAAACGCGAGAGGGCTAGGCGGGTCTTCCTTACCCAATTTACAGCGGTAAGATAGCGCGCGCTCGCTCTAATTCATTGAACGCTACGTAACTTCACAACTTTACTTTCTTTGTCACGAACGATACCCAACTTATAGCTAACAACAAACACGCCTACTACATCCACGCTCGTATCCAAAAAGAACTCGCAGGTTCTCAGCCAAAGTTCTTTTTTTATTGTTTTTTGTCACATATCATGCATCGCGTTTTATATCCACGATATATCTAAACCTTCAATACCGCCATCATGCCCGACTTTGGCAACGGCGCGCTCGACACCCCGCGAACAAACGTCGGCGACGCAACTTACCTTGGACAGCCCGACTTTGGCGACATCACACAAGAAGCATCGTTCCAATCACCTCCAAAAGATGGGAACTTACTACAACAACTTCGCAATGGCCGCTCCAATGGCATTAATCTTCGCACCCCACGCCAAAGAGGACCCTTGGCCGACCGACGAAATCTTCCCCCCAGCGTAGGAGGTGCCGAATTTACACCTTTACTCAAGTCAGCGACCAGAAATAGCGTGCGACGCTTCGGAAAAGAGAACGGCACAGCAGTGCCAAATACGCCCGCACTGGACAAGATCGACGAGGGTGACTTGACACCGGTCCCTCGTGGCGACACATCCATATATATGGGATCGCGCAACCAGTCTTATCTGGAGAACACCATACCTGAGGTTGATACAAGTAGCGCTACATCGACCCCGTTGACGGTTCCCCGGAGGAGAGGCGGCGATAAGGGACCCCTACAAGATGGTAATCAGCTGTCACTACGAGAACAGGAAAACGTGATCGATAGGATAGAGAAGGAGAACTTCGGACTGAAGCTCAAGATTCATTTCCTTGAAGAAGCGCTCCGAAAAGCAGGGCCTGGCTTTAGCGAAGCCACCTTGAAGGAGAATACCGAACTCAAGGTCGACAAGGTCACAATGCAAAGAGAGCTCCACAAATACAAGAAACACTTAACAACCGCTGAGAAGGACCTAGAGAGCTATCGGCAGCAGATGCTCGAGGTGCAGGAAAAGGCTAAGCGAAAGTATGCCAACCAGAGCAACCAAGCCGAGATGGACAAACTGCAGCGCCTATTGGAAGACCGCGAAACAGACATCGAGGATCTTCAGCGACAATTACAGCAACAAAAAGGAAGCAATGATCAGGTCGAAAAACTTCAAGACGATATTGGAGACCTCGAGGCGGACATTCAGGAGAAAGACCAACAACTCACCGAACGCGAAGACGCACTAGAAGATTTGAAGGATCAGATGGAGGCTCTGAGAAATAAGGCCACAGAAGCAGAAGAAAGGGCCAAGGATGCTCAGCGCAAGATGGTCGCGCTGGAGGAGAAGGCTCAACACAACGATGAGCTCGACGACGCCAAAGACACAATCCAAGATCTCGAGCACAATATTCGCCGCCTCGAGGAACAGGTCGAGGATGCAAAAGCCAAGATGGAAGAAGCTATGGCTGAAAAAGATCGGGCCGAGAATGACCTTGAAGAGCTTCAGGAAGACATGGCCAACAAGTCTGTGGCCACAAAGGGACTCTCTCGTCAGATTGAAGAGAAGGTTGCGCGCTTGCAAGAAGAACTCGATCAATCTGGCCAGGAATATGCTACTTTGGAGAAGGAACACCGCAAGTTGGCCCAGGAAAACAGTTCCCTGCAATCCGCTGCCAATGAGCTCAGGAAGAGTCAAGAGAGATTTGATCGCGAGCGGGATTCTTTGTCAACCAGAATCGAGGAGCTTGAGGCCGAACTCAACGACCGTGCCGACGAGAGGAACATACTTCAATCCCGACAAGATAGCCTACTATCCGAATCCAAATCTTTACAAAGAGAAATCGAGAGGCTAGAGGGAGAATGCCAAGAGCTTGAGGAGGGCCTTGCAGAAGAAAGAGAACATGCCCTCGAGATTGAAAAAGACATCCGTGGCCAGTATAAAGCCGAGATGGATCGTTTGAATGACGAAATCTCTGATCTCCAGGCTGAAATTCGGGAGAAGGACAACCTTTATGATAACGACAGCGAAAAATGGGAAACGGAGAAGCAGAATCTTGAGTCAGAGCGCAAGCGCGCCGAAGAGAAAGCAGCGGGTCTACAAAGAACCATCGATCGCCTCAAAGAGGTGGAAGGCACTATCTCAGACAAGGAGTCGAAGCTGCAAATAGCCATTCAGAGCGAGGCTGAGCGACACAGGAGCGAGGAAGGTCTTCTCTCCCGGCAAATCGAAGATCTTCAAGACGCCCTAGAAACCCGGCAGACACTCCTTACGAATTTACGCAGTGAACTTTCCGCAGTTCGTGACGAGTTACGACAGACACAGATTGAGCACCAGGCCCAAACCCGAAAGGTCGCCGCCTTGGAAGATGAGGTGGACGTTCTGCAAACAACCCTCGACGAAGAACAAAACGCCGGACGTTATGAAGCCGAGGCTGCCAAGCGAGAATGTGAGGATTTGAGAGAACAGCTCAAATCCTTGAGGCAACGCACCAGTTCATTCCAATCAGCATCGACGCAAGTGGTGAGTAAGGAGATTGATGACCTGAGAGAACAACTAAGAGATGCGCGCAAGAGAGCAGATATGCTCGAGCGTGCTAGTCTCGAAACAGACGATTTGAAGGACCAACTGAGGACTATGCGTCAACGAGCGGGCTCATCTGAAACTGTCAGCCGAGAGATCGATGACCTGAAGGAAGAACTAAAGATATCGCGACAACGAGCCGAGTCAGCTCAAACCGCCATCTCTACTTTAGAACAAGAAGCTAAGCAGTCGACGGAGTCCATGACACGGATGAAGTGGCAGCTTTCAGACGCGAACTCTCAACTTGACAAAGTGTCGAAGGAGAAACAATCTCTCCAAGACCAGGTAGCCAAAATTAACGCCGAGTTGCATACTGTAAACACTTCCCTGGCCGAAGTCAAAGCAGAGCGCGACGAACTTGATGGCGAAATACGTCGGACGAAGCTCTACGACAATGAGACCCTTCGTGTTGACCAGGAAAGACTCGACCTCCGTACGGCCAAGCTCAAGCTTGACAATGAAGTGCGGCGTCTAAAGGATGAGAACAAGGCTCTGATTGAGCAGCGAGATATGATTGAGAAGAATCTAGAGGACGAAATCGAGAAAGCCGCTGAGGAGGAGGAGCGTCTAGGTCAGGAAATTCTTCAATTACAGACCAAACTACGAACATCATCGTCGACAGACAATCATGATCTTGCTGCTGCTCGTCGCACCATTCGTGACCTTGAGCGTCGTGTCGAGGATTACGAAGCTCAACTCAACAATACCCGTCAGCTACCAAACAACTTCGAGGGTAACAGCGAGCTGTCTTTGATCCGTAAGGATCTCTCTGCAGCTCGTCAAAAGGAGCTGGAATTCCTTCAAAAAGATACTACAAACCGCGACGTGGTCAAGGGTCTGAAGCGACAGATTGCCGATCTGGAGCGCCAAGTGCACGAGACCAAAGTTTCTCGTTTGATCGCGTCTCCCAAGTCTTCCACCACTGATTCAGGTCGCAAGACTGAGGTCACTGAGCTCAGGGGCCAGCTTTCCGCAGCGCAAAAGTCGATCCACGATCTCAAATCCAAAAACAGAGAAGCCGAGCGCAAAGCTATGCAAGTGTCGCAAGACTTCCAACGCCAGCTAGATGACCTCGAGGATCAAAAGATAGTACTTGAAGAGGTTCTTGAGGAAGCCAGACAACAAGCCGAGGAGACGGCAACCCAACACGAACGCGCACTTCGTCGAATGAAGCACCAGCTTGACAAGGCAGAACGCGAACGTAACACCCTGGCAACGCTACAACCCAACATCAGCAAGCATGACCGGCAGCTGAGAAAGAACCAGGCCGAGATGGAGAACCTTGAGCACGATGTTCTACAGCAACAAGAAATTATTGACAACCTTGCCGCCTCTGAAGCTTCTCTCCGACGCAAGCTAGAGCGAGCTCGCAATGAGCGGGCAGCGTTCCGCATGAGCGCCGAGAAGTTGCAAAAGGATCTTGAGCATGTCAAGGCTGCAGCAGTCGCCGCTAGAGCCGGGACTCCAGATCGACGAAGCGCAGTAGATCGCAAGGCTCTTGATTTAACTATTGAAGGAGCTGATCAGGCTCTTGAGACTGTCATTCGCGCAGCTGAAAGCGCCGACGAGCGTCACAGGAAGGAGTTGCGGGGCATGTTGATGCAGATGGAGTGGATGCAGGCTCGATTCAAGCGCGAAGCCTCTCTTCGAGCTGATGCCGCATATGCAAAGAAGTTCCTACAGCTGCAGCTTGACGTCGCCAATGCATGGTAAGACCCTGTTCCCGCGTATTTCTATCAGAACCATATACTAACAATCTCATAGCAACAAGGCTCAACTCCGTGAGCTCGAGGATATTCGCACAAACCTCCTTGGTAACAAGAAAGCCCTCGCTCTGCCTGGTCATGCGACACTCAGCAACTCATCCACGACGAAGCCCACGCTTAAGACCTTCCTCGTCATGGCACGTTTCATTGCTCGTGTTCGCTTGTCGGCTAACAACTGGGCCAAACAAGAGGTTGTTCGTCGCAAGCTCGTGAGCGCAACTGAAGAACAGCGCAAGGTGAAGCGATCGAGGCAACTTAAAGTGGTCAAGGCCGAAGCATAAGAGAATCCGGCTGCTTGCTTGTACGGAGTCCGGGTGCGCATGAAAGATTGAAGAATGAACGAAGCATTTGCATGAATAAGGGCGTCTGTAGAAACTGTCTGGCTGGTCTATTACCACTTGTCAATTTGGTTATTGACGCGGTTATTATGATACCTGGATCATATCTTTACATGGGACGGGTTTTCTTTGGCGTTAGGGAATAGGAATAAGGGAAACAGGCGAGTAAATTAGCACATTGTATAGCATGACGCAGATGACGGTCATTATAAGCATCAAATTATGAGCATTTTGATTTGAACTTCAAATGTTCTCCCCCACACTGCATGAGAAGTAAAAAGAAAGACGTTTGAGTATCTTGAGACCGTCCTTAAAGACTAACCCAACACCTAAACCTTGCAAACAACCTCCCATCATGTTAACATCAAGTCATACTATGTGTGGTCCGCCCATTGTCGTCAAACAACACTCGCACAGCCAACCTAGCTCTCCCATTGTTTCCTACTCTTTGATACGGGCTTGGTTGACTTTTATGTAGATTCGGCACATGAAAATTTCGAGAGTGGGGCATATACATTTACATGACGAACAAAAGATTTGTGTCTAATCAACTTGGTCAACAGCTGGACTACAAAGCTTCGAGGCGGTGAGACTTACCGAGAGGGTGACTACATGATAGCTGAGGCTTCTGAGTATAGCGCGTCGCAAGTTCGTCACGAATACTGTTTAACAACTGGACGTAACTTTGCTGGGGACTTTTCTTGAGCGCAGTGACAAATGCCCAGGACATGGCGCCAGTAGCCTGGGAGGCGATAGTAGCATCGGCACTATGGAATATGTTAGCGATATGTTTCGGATATGCTTTAATGATAGAGAAACCGGCAAAATCTCCATCGACCCAACGCAGCCCGTGGCCCCAGATGCGCAAATACAGTCTCGTTAGGAGACTGTATCTGGCATCTGGAGCAAGCTCGAAAGAATCATCATTCAAGTTAGATACATCAAATTGTTCAAACCAAAACGCCTTGCGCCAAGCTAACATGACCAATTGAAAAACCAGTTCCAATAACAAAATGCAAAATCGAAAGGACCAGAAAATCAAGCCGGTATCGTCTGGTAGGAAAGGTAATATTGGGGAAGGGGCACCCACGAAGTTTGGTCGTCTTTACTGCCGGACCACATAATAACATCAGCAGGAGAGGTCTTTGTCCTCATGGTACGCTCGCGAGCCTCGTCACCGTTGGCAGCCTTCTTGATGAAGCCGAAGATGTTGCTGGCAACACCACCGAGATCGCCTTGGCTGTATGAGGAGATGACGCTGAGCAAGCCTTGACCAGCCTCCTTGGCCAGGTTGGGCTCCTTGAGGATACCTTGTGTCGAGTAGATGTAGGGCAAATCGAGGGCGGTACCGGAGTGACACGAGTCAAAGATGGCAGTGAGCCGAACGCCGGCCTGTAGAGGGCGAACCATGATGCGATGCATCTCATCATCTACGATGTGGCCGTTTTGTCGGAAGTCAACAGGGTAGATGACCTCATCGTAACCGTCGTCTTCGTCGCCGTCAAGATCTTTGGTTTGTCCACCGTGACCTGCGACCGTTAGTAAAGCTATGGGGATATGGGGAAACATCAAGCTCGTCAAGTATAGATCGTACCTGAGTAGTGGAAGAACAACGAATCGTTAGGTCGCGCATCTTTTACTAGCCAGTGCATGGCTCGGAGAATGTTCTGTTTGGTAGGCTGGCTCATGGCGTTCTGCTGATCGTCGGTAAGAATCACCATATCCTCGCGTTTATAGCCAAAGTGTTCGGAGAGGTAGGCGGTCATGTTGCGAACATCGTTGATGCAGCCACGCAGCTGTCCGCGCTGGTTGAAGTAGTTGATTCCGATGAGAAGGGCTTTTCTCCTGCCGGTGCAGTTTGAGTATCTGAAGTTGTAACTATTGGGAGCTCCATGACCGAACTGTTGAGGGGCTGTAGGAGGGGGGGGAGGGCCACCTGAAGATCAGTTAGTGAGCCAGTCGAAAAGGCAAGCGCGTGAATCTCGTAACACACCGGGTCGGGAATTGAAGTTTGGCTGAGGAGGTCCTTGCTGATAGTGACCATATTGAGGCTGGGGAGGAGGCTGTCCTTGGTAGAACTGCTGCTGTTGTGGAGGAGGATGCTGCTGATAGCCGTATGGCGGTTGAGGAGAAGGTTGGCCTTGCGGATAGCCACCACCGTAATTAGGTTGCGGTCTATAGAAGTAAAGGAAAGTAAGTTAGCTAACTATAAGCTCCATCGTTGCGCATGATGATGACGGGTAGTGGCATGAGTGATCGTCGGTTCGCATGGGGGGATGGAAAATGCGGGGGAAAGTTGAACGGTAGATGGGATTTTGGAATTGGAGGTTCGAATCAGATCGAAACAGCGCTGAAGAACGAGGGGAGTCGCACGGGTAATAATTGCCTTGAGGCTGTTGGTGGTATTGGGGTTGCGGTTGACCACCGTAACGGTCAGAATTGTAGCCTGGATATCCCGACATGACGGGGCGGTTCTTGCTGTTGAAGAGATCGGAGGAGTAAAGGATCCGAGGTTTCAAGATTATGAACTTGAGGATGTAGAAGATTGACGTATGTTTGTGTTTTGGTAGAGGAGAAAGAGTCGAGTCGGGTAAGAAAAGACGACCAAGGATTGATAGCCTGGGCGTGGGAAACTCGGGCTGGGCGCCAAGAGATCAGACAGGATAGCGCATTCAAAAGTAAAATGTAGCTGGGTCCTTCTGGGGCGATGACGATGTACTGAAGAAGAGAGATAAAAGCTTGGGGTCTCGTGATCAATGCAATGCCACGACTGTCTGGTATAGTCTGGTATGTTCTGTTGTTGTTTTGCTGATGCTACTAATGCTGATGCGATGCTTATGCTTATGCTCACGCGGGGCAGAAAAAAAGGTGAAGGGTTCAGTCGCCCAGACTGATCAAGCTAACGTTAAGGGTAGGTTCCTGTCCTGTCTGCTGCTCCAAAATCCTAAGGTCGTCAGTTGATTGGATTGGATACAGAGTTTCCCAGCAAGCTGAAAACGGAGCGCACGGGCGTCCTTTGAAGCTGAAGGCGGGGGAACAAAGAGATGGGATAGGACGAGATAGATAGATAGAGAGACAGAAAGATGTCGTGTTGAGCTGAAGAGATGGAGAAGATGAAGAGTCGTTGATATTCCTTTCTCTGCTTCTGTTTGGCGCGCGCGATAGAATGATATAAGTTCAGGCCAGCGGACAGATTGAAGAGACAAAAGCAATGAGAGGCAGGGACAAGGGGGGAGGGGTGTAGACCGCAAGTACTGGACAGTACAATACAGCAGGGTAGGACAGGGCAGTTGATTTATTATTCCCTGGCCAGCGGCTTTAATGTTTGAGACAAATCGCGGCAGCTTTTTCCTATTATAGGGATGGACGGTAATAGGAATGAGCTCAGTATTCGAATGTCGGTGTCATGAAAGACGTGATTGATCTTGTATGATTATGGTTGATGGTGAGAAATGCGGAGAAGAGGACCCTTGAGACAAGCAGAGTGCTGTACGTGCTAAGTAAAAAGAGTCAAGTCTGTCTTGGGTTGGAGGAAAAGTGAAGTTCAAGTTCAAGTTCAAGTTCAAATGATGATGATGATGATGATGATGATGATGATGATAAAGCTATAATCGAAGGGATATAGGTACATCTTTAAATCATATGTTCCAAAACTCTACCATTCAATCCAACATACCTTAGCTACCTATTGTGTTTTCTTTTCTTTGAAGCTCTAACTATTAGCTGTTGTGATGCCCGGAACTATCAACAGCTCTTGTTCGGCAATGGAGGCTCAGCGCTAGAAACAGGACCCAAAGCGGTAACATGGCCGACAATGGGGAAATCGCTCGTGCATCTCAACGACCATTACGGAGATGTTCGAGTGCGCTACAGCACGAGATGCGTCCGTCTTGGCAATATTTCTCGCACACCGTCTCTAATTGAGGAAACAACACATACACAGCCTTTCCTCATTAACTTCACTGTAATCCATTTCAGTGATGCTATCATCATATTCAGAATTCCCGTTACTCAACTTGAATAGTAGGCTATGCCCGGTTCATCTGCAGGGATCACAAATCGACCCGACTGAATGGACCCCCGGCTTAGAAATGCCGAATACTCTGGGCCTCGTTACCATCATGCCCTGTTTCTCTCTCCTCTCAGTCTGGTGATCCATCAGCCAAGTCTTTACTTACGCGTCGTGCCTCTTCTTGGCCCATGTAATGTCAACCAGTTCATTACTCGTTTGCTCAGGCATCCAGGACAGTCAGGCCAACCAACCACTTGGAGTTGGGGTTAAGATTGTGGCTTGATTAGAAGCCATCAATCATCACGTTTTTGTGGGACCGTTTGAAAGGTCGCCCTGGAAATCAACAAAGAGGATATATGATATCGGACAAGAAAGCCACATTCCTTTTTTACTTTTGTGCCAAATGTGACCGACCATGATACGACAGCATAGGTAGACACAAGATGCTTCAGGATACACCCTGTTCACCATCAACCTTCAACTTTATTGCGTAGGTAGTAGCAAACGCCGCACCCCATCTTACAGCACAGTTTTGAATATCATCCAATTAATTGTCCGACACGACGAACCCCTCAAACGTCATTAACGCAGTCCTGGCAGTACAGGACCCCTGTCAGGCTGAGCCGGCGCCGAACCCGGTGCAACGGCGATCCCCGATGCAGAGTCGGTATGGACCCAGTGGGATGAGTAGTCTCTATTCTGTAGAAACATAATATTCAACACATGACAGAGTAAATGAATGAATACTTGCATGTGCTTTCATGTAACTCATAAGGTTTCTCAGACCATATCCAAGCCATCATATCTTCCACCAAACGCAACAAAGTACAAAAAGGGGAATTCAAGACACCTATAGAAGCATCCATATACAACCAGGAGGAGTTGGACCAAGCAAGGGACATTCGAACTAACACAACATAGCACGGCACAA